TCATCCAACGCGCTGTCCGATGAGGACGTTGATTGGGCTAGGAGTAACCCTATACACGCAAGTGCAGAGGGGAATCCGGAGTTCCGAACTACGCCAACGATCGAAGATCAGGGACGCTGCCGTTTTCGCCAAGGAATCGAAGATAAGGTGGGCCGGACACGTCATGCGATTTTGCGATGACCGTTGGACCAGAGCGGTTACCGACTGGATCCCTCGGGACGTCAAACGAACACCTGGACGACCGCCGGCCCGATGGTCAGACTTCTTCACGAAAGCTCTGAACGAAAGGAATGAAGGACTTCGTGTCCCTCGAGCGAGGAGGGTCCACTGGACAACTCTGCACGCGACAGGGACGAATGGAGACGTTGCTGGCGCCCGCTCGAGCAATTCGATGATCAACGGGACGACAGGTGATACAGGTGAGTTATGTGTTTGCAATTAACAATGGCAAGAAACTTTCCTTACGGATATAATCGGATTATTTAATAATGGATGATTTATTGGTCAAACGTTGAAGCAATTTTGAAACCAACCTGAGAGCTCCAACTGTGAACTTTGCGAAGAGATGACAAGCAGAAACATTACGAAGCTGAAATACTTCATACAGGAGCATCGGGAGCACATTATGAACGATTGGATTTCATTTCAAACATTCTCCACATTTATATTGAAAGAGCTTACTATTCACAGTCGTCTTCACATTCTATTGCGACTACAAAATGACGGTCATCCATAAGACGCCCCTCAAAATGGGAGGAAGGATCGGCAAGCATCGGATCCGAGCCATTGGTTAATAAACGTTCGGGGAAAACGTTCAGCATAAGAAGGCGAGAGTTTGCCTTAACGTGCTGTATGAGCTCTTGTCTCTGTTTCATGGACAACAGCCTGAACGTACCTTTAGAGCTCCAATAATTTGTCCGACCTTCAAAACACACCCAGGTTTCGCAGTTGATTGCGTAGACACGATGTCGAAATGTTGAAAAAGTCCGATATTTGTTCGTCTACCCGAGAGCGCGGTTAGCGAGCTTCTGTAAAATTAGGACCTTTCACGTCAATGAGTTCTGACAAAGAAAGGATAATATAAGTGTCTGAAAAGTTTAAGGATTTCAGTCAGCTTTTCAACACAAATTTACTATTAGGTACCGGATATCTTAGTGTCGTTTTTTCACCACGAGTTTCGGACCACCAATATTTTAATTCAAAATCCAGGAGTGAAACAGCATATTCATCGAATGACTCATTAGCACTTTCCCATTTACCAGTATGAGTGAAAACCTCGTACGATTAAAGTTAGGAATTTTTTGAGTTGTAAAAATGAAAATTAGCTTTTTTTGAGCATCATCTGACTAAATCATATACCGCTTCCAACTAGCGAAAAAGTTAGACCTGCCACGAAAAGAAGTATAACATTAGTTTATAGTAGGCTCGCTGTATACGTGGTACAAGTTTAAAGTATACACAGCCTCAAACTGGACACATTTTCCTAGAGCATTTTATGCCTACATTGGGTCAAGAATGCAGCCCGTTTTTGATGCAACGTGAGTAGGTCAGATAGCATATTATTAAATCCCTCTTGGCAATCCCACTTCGTTTAAGAATTTGTGGCACACACTGATCCAGCCGTCACTTGCTAAGGAGGACTACCATTCAGCACAAGTAGTCCAGCCCCGTCGGTCGACTGACTTCTAACTAGGGCCACCTTTTGACCGCACGATGTGCGGCATCTCTTCACGACTTCAGGAATGACGGTCCCACCATTTCTAAATTGTTGTACATTCAGCCTCAACGGACGTCGCAATGTTGGTTTGGTGGGCGGAAGTTGTAGCTCTCAGCAAGAATTTTGAAGCATTAGATACACACATGCGAATTTGCACACTGGACCCTGGGAATTTTTCAAAAAAGTATAAAAATTGGGGAAAGTTAAATTGTGAACCAACAATAGAAAACAATAAGCAACATATTTCGCAGTATTAATGAGCAAAAAGGACTTTCTGAGATATTGATTTTCCATAGTAATCGGCCCCAAAACTTCCTGAACTCAGAAAAGCGACACTAAGATATCCGGTACCTAATAGAACAAAACAGTTAGATCAGTAATCAAGATAGTAGCCCTCCTTAGCTGCCGTATCCCTGAAGCAATCCATTCATGCATTGCACACTTGACTTCCTGATATTTGTTGAATAATTTCCCTGTGGTGTAAGCCTGTAGACTTGTGAAAGCATAGTAGTCATACGGGTAAGTCCAGGTGATACGGTGGTTGGGATAGCCAGGTGATGCCAAGTCCGTTCAGCTCCTTCGTCAACGTGCTCGCTTCGTGTGGTCGAGCACTATCCATTACATTCAGGCGAGAAACTTTCCCTTAATCAGTGCGAAATGAGGCTCGAGAGACCATTTCTTGAACAGTCTTGCGGTCACATCTGTCCCCTCGAATAGGATTTCATAGCCTATACAGCCAGATGGAGCAGAAGAAGAATGAGATCATCTCATTTTTGGCGTGGGCCTCGCTTTGGAGCGGGTTGTGCTTCACGTCCACTGGTAGCCATTGCAATTTCCTGTGTGGATTTTCACATGATCTCCACTTTTCATCCTGAGCGATAATGAAGCATGTCCATGTTGTCGTTCGCTCGCGGTCGAGGAACTTTTGACACACATCGACTAGCACTTGACACTTGTGTTCAGTTAGGCAGTGTGGAATAATCCACGGGGCGCTGCACTAACGTGATTTCTGTGTGGAGTTCGTGGATGGTGGAGCGGGGAGCGTAGTCATCCTCTTCATTGCCCTTGAATTTCAAGAAGGAGTGCTTTGAGGAAGTCAGAACAGCGTCGGTGATTGGTGTCCGCTTTAAGGAGCTCCGTCAAGGAAAACCTCTTCTCTAGGGTTACGAACGACCAGCTATAGCTTCTCACTTTAAAGAGCGCACTGCGGTCTATCGACAAGCATAATTCGTTCCGGAATTAAGAGGCAGAACGGCTAGATTGGTAGCAGTGAAGCAGAAGGCGTCAGTAGGCATGTCGGTCGCACCTAGTTCAACCAAAGCTAACTTTCTGCCAACTTTCTGCCAAAGACATAGTGAAATACTGTTCAGCAATGGACACGACCTTTCAACATTTCCCTTTAACTGTCACTTGTATAGGCTTGTTATGGCGCATTCGCGCATAACAAGCTTTCAAATTTGAAAGGCAAATTTTTCTGAAAACTTTCCGGACACCCTAGTAATTTAGGTTGCCATAGCCATTCAGGACGAGATTTGTTATACATTAATGTATGCACCTTGAAACACCGTTATCAAGTCTGCGAAATAACTCGTATAGAGAACAGTATGTCGTTTCCCTCTTCTGTGCATACAAGGCAATAGATGTGTCAACGAGCTGTGCAGTAGTGGCGCAAATGGGTGAAACACACCCATAAGCATGCCCCGAGAGATCGGATCCTTGTGGTCTGCACAATCATGATTTTTAGCTTAATGAATGGAACGACATCTGGCCTCCCTAAATTATCAGTGTTTTTTCTATATTTGCCTGAATAATGAGTTTGCGAACGACCACCAAACATTTAGGCACCATTTGCTCATGACCGCTCCTTTGCTCGTAGCGCACGCGACAGCGACCTTTTGCGCCAAATGAGCGAGTGAGCCAAATCTGAGATTTTGACAAGCTTTGAAAACGAAACATTCATTGGTTTGACCCTTCCCAGAAAGGAATTTTTTGCTGACTAAACTGACGCAGCTCCGATTTTGTAATAAAATTCTGCTTTCACCATAAAAGCATTAACAAGAGCAGAGCACATAAAACTGCCGAAGACGGGACGACTGCAGGATTGTAAATGTGGACGCGGAAATTCTCCACCTTTTCTACAACTCCCTCCATGTTCTTATATGCCATCGTTACGAAGCTTCTCACCTTGAACACAGGACAGCTTTGTCAGCCTCACGTGGATCCAGTCGACTTGCCCACTTTCCGCCAACAATAAGTAGAACTTCGAGGAATGCTTAGAATCGCTTACATGATTTATATTAGACCATGATACCGCAAACGACGAGTTTTCTACTTTTCTTTTCTTTTTTATCACCTCCTATTTCTTCGTTACTTTTTTCCGCTTGCAGACAAGTGAAAACTCTAATTGCTGTCTTCGTGGTATCCAATCATGTTTCGCATAATAAATAATGAATAAATTTAGTGATGGATGATCGCCCATTGCCATAGAAAGACTCACCTATTCAGATGATAACCTGACTGGACTACTTATCACATCTGGCTGTCTGACGCTTGAGTTGTATATCTCAGCAAGGAAGTCGCGAGCATCAGTTACTATCTAGAAATGCAATAATACAACTAAAACTAAGGCCGACGTCATACTTTGCGATTCGAATAGCGATTGTATCGCATCGCAAAGTACTGACGTCGGCCTAGACTATGTGATGGGTACAAACTGGACAGGTTACCTGATTAGGATAACGAAAGTTTCCTCATCACCTTGCAATGAAACAACATGTTGGCATTGGCAAATAGTTGCAGTGCAGCTGAAAATGCAAATACATTCCCGGATTCCTCGCGCTTCCCGTTCCACACAATGGAACTAGCTGCTCTCTCTTAATCCCACACATATTTTTGACAACAAACGAATTGACCATGCTCTATAACCTTACACACTTGAAGCCCCAACTTTACAACAATGCTGAATTGTGACTGGAAACCGATATAACCAGAGAGTTGACAAATGTTCTCTTTTGGTTGTGACTTTATTGCCTACAGACAAAAGCGATTTCCATACAAACCTTTTTCACTCCTTTTTTGCCATTCAGAGGGCCGTTCGAAAAAATGGGACCTAGTTCTGCACTCTAGGCATGTACCATGCCCTTTAGGGTGTGGTTCACAAGAACAGAAAGCGAATTTCTCGCGTTTCGGCAGCGCAAAAAATTGTTCGTTTGCGGGAACCTCGGGTCCACATGCGTATTTCAACGAGTGGACTGAGGTCCCGCAATGCGACAACTGTTTCGCGGCTGCGAATGAAAAATTTCGCCGTCTTTTCTGTGTTCCTAGTGAACTCATGTATCCCTGTGCCTGCCGTGTTAGTCAATACAAAATTACGCTTTGATTGAGTACGCCTTGGTTCTAGACTGTTATTGGTAAAGTTAACGTCGACCTGGCCGTCCCGCTCTGCTACTTTTCTTTTTTTGAAATCCTGCCAGTGTTTGCAAGTTTTCCTCAATAAGACCGATCCCAAAAAAGTATTTCCTCCTTCACATAACTGTTGGCGCCTTTATGATAAAGCCATGAACGATGTTTCAACACGCCACTTTTCTTTGAAAATCTAAGAGAGCTTCTGCTTTGGAACCTATAGGGATGCATTCTAAGCCTGCTGCTATGCATAAGTGCGGTCATCTTTCTCGTACTAATCTGAAATGCGTTGGATACAGAAATTTACAAACACCCTTTAGTTTTATAATCGTTCGACATCTACATGAAGACCATTAACTACGCTAAGAGTCGAATGAGGGTCTAACGATGCACTCTAGCGTATGAGGCTGAAATGTTCGTTTTGGATAAAATGAAGCCACCATGCAACCATGGGACCAGTCTCATATGTATGTGTGAAAAGCGAAGGTGAATCTGCGTAAGCAGTCAGAGTTCTCTGCTGTAGCCTTAAGCTGCGGCTTGGTAAAGTATCTCCCAAAAAAATCGGCGATATCGATATTGAAGACCAGGGCGGCTACAGCGTTCGAATTTTGATACCGACTATTCCAAAACTTTGGAAGGAAAAGGCACTCATGAAAATGCTTGACAGCCAGCTAGCGAAGCTACTTCCCGGCTACATTTTTATGATAATTACTGCCAGCCCTTGTGGTTCCTTGTCTTGCTGTGCTGCCGATTTTCACCCCTTTCCAATGACGACGCCTCGATCCTCTCAATGACCATCACAATGTTTCTTCCAGAAAGGATCAATAACACAGAGCATTCTCATCGTTGAGTAATCTCATTTACACACAGTGTTTTTCTCAACCAGAATCCAGTCACTGCTAATCAAA